GGGGCTTTCAGCCTCCATTCATCTCTGAACACGAGGCATGTGTCTGAGTCCACATTGACAGGCGGGAGCCCAAGCGAAAGTCAAGGTCACCAAGACAAGCTGAAGGTTCTCAGAAGTGGGTCAGACTGGTTCGGCCAGGCACCCAAAGATGCAAGACTGAGAACACATTTTGAGTCAGAAAAGGAAGGCAGCCATCCCGTCCTTGAGAACCTCAAATGTCACCAACTGACAGATTACTTGGGCAATCCAGTTGTGGCAGGTCTTGCCATGGTGTTCTCAGATATTGCATGTTCTAAGGGGATGCTTCATGTCAGCACCCATTCGGTTTAGAAACTGGTTATGACACTAATTTGGGCGGCCCAGACTGGTGATGCAGTTTTTCTGCTGGGAAGTACATTCATTAGCTTTAAGACTTGGGAATCAACTTATTGTAAAATCCTGAGGTCTCGCAGCCTCCTACTTCCGGTAACCGCCAAGGGGAAATTTGGGCCCAGGCCATGCCAACCGAAAACAGAATTGCTGATGTTTCATGAGAATTGCAGCCGACCTTGAAGTCAGGGATCAGGTCATACGTTTGTGTGACCTTGGCGAAGTCTTGGTGCTTCATAGAGCTTCAGTTTCTAACTTGCGAAACAGGGTCTGTGTGTGGCTGTGTCCTGATGGCTCTTTCCTTCCCACCTGCATTTCCATCTCTGATCCCTGGCACCCATATCGGCTTTACCAGTCCCTGATCCTGGCACTCTGGACCCTGAATACTCCCAGATGGCGGCGTGTTCTCCAGTCAGCCTCTCTTCGTTGTCCTGAACAGGGTTTCTCAACTCAGGGCTATTGACATTGAGGGCTAGGCGACCCCTGTTGTTGGAGGCCTATCCTGTGTGGTCGGCAATGGAATGATAGAACATTGCATTAGTAAATGCACCCTCCTCTCTAGATGCAGTAGTGTCTGTCCCCACAACAGTGACAACCAAAACCATCTGCAGATGCTGCCAAACATCCCCTGGGGACTGCCAGCACGGCCCTGTTGGCCACTTAATTTCTGAGGCAGTGATTTCATCACCTGTACTGATTGGCGCTCTGCTCTGAAACTGCATCCTGGCCAATAGCTAGGAAGGGAGCATAGTAACCTCGAACCGTCCTCTGGCAAAGGGTTCGAAACATGGCAGGATTTGAGCTCACGGATCCTCTTTTAGGAAATAACAACGGTGTGATGTTCTTTGCTTATTTTTTGTGAATGTTAAATCCAGGTATTTCTTCTCAGTGCGAAGTGGGTTTTATCCTTTCCCTTTTGTTCCCATCTGGGGTTCTCTGGCCTAAACAGCTCCTCCTCCCGCCCCAGCTACTTTTATTTTGATTTTAAAAGAATTCTTTTATTTAACTTTATTTATTTATTTTAATTTGACCAGAGTGAGAGAAGGAGAGAGAAGGAAAGTAAGAAAGCAAGCCACCAGGTCTGGGACTTGAACCACAGTTGGCCATGTGGGACTCCAGTGCCCTTAACCACCATGCCACCTGCTGACCTCATTTTAATTTTTTAAAAGTGTATTCCATGAGAAGAACAGCAGGGCAGGCAGAGACAGGTACCGCAAATAGGGTCTCCACGCGGTGACCCATTCAGCTAACCCCAGATTATGGGCACGCGTGCACAGGTGTGGTGTGTTCAGCAAGGTCTCGGGACACAAGCCCCACACCTTCCTGTGTGGGCTGGCCTCACACAGCCCCGCTCTTTTAATTTTTGTGGAACTGGTTTTGCCTGAAGAATTGGACTTCTCCCCTTTTCGTTCCCTCAGCTCAGTAAAAGTCCCTCAGCAGATTTATGAGTAAAACTTAAATCCCAGAAAAGAAAGTCCCTGTGAAGGCAGATGAGGGGCCTGTTTGGTGGCTGTGATGGCAGCTCTGAAGACTTGAGGAGGGGTGTGGGGAAGGCATTAGACAGTGGGGGTCTTTATGGCTTCCAGAGACAAAGCTCAGACCCTGAGCACGTCGTACTGCAGAACGCGGAAAGTACAGAAAGGCCTGTTGGAAGATTCTGCCGAAGGAGGACAGCTTCCTGATCTTTGGGATCTAGTTAAAACTGGAACCATTCAAATCTCCCCTTCTCTGGAAGGTGAAGGGCATTTCCAGCTGCAGGGTGGAGTGTGTGCATGAGTGCATGTGTGCATGAGTGCATGTGTGCACGCACACTTCAGCCGCTCTCACGCAGTCGCTGTGCGCAGGCTTGCCACCATGCCAAACTCACACGAGACCGTCCCCTTGCCTCCAGAGGGCTTGGTACTGGGTTTGTGAATTGGCTTCTGACTCTAGGACTACAGTCTGTCAGAGGCCAAAGTAGAGCATATAGAATCTCGGGTGGCAGGCAGGTCTCTGAGGAAACTGAGGGGAAAATGGGGCCAAGACACTAGAGAAGCCAAACTGACCCACAGGGCAGCCTGCGGGGAGAAGGCCTGAGGCTTGCTGCCCCGAGTGTTCCACAACACCCCAGGAGCCTGTCCATATGGGCAGGAGGCAGAGGAATGGGTCCGATGGCCTCCGCACACAGCTCCTCTGGCCCTTCTGAAAAGGAGGAAGTCCTTGGGGTTGGGGAGAGGAAGGGATAAGAGAAGACAGAGGAGGAGAGCTGAGAAGTCGCACGGAATCTGTTAGATGGGTACAGGAGAGGGCAGCAGAAGCTCCTCTGTGCTACATGTGCCTGGTCTTTGGGGAGAGATATGACTTACTATAAATGAGATTGATTAGGAAAGATACAGGTTGAATAGAACACATAATAACAGATGTAGTGCTGTGATCAAGGAAGCCTTCCTGGAGGTGGTGGGCTTGAACTGGGCCTACACGGAAAAGGAAGAAGGCAGTCCAGTTGAGAAAAACTGCATGAGCAGAAGAGCAGGGTTGAAAGTTTGCATGTATCCTCAGGGACTGTAAGGAAATAACTTAGTGATAGTTCTTCAAAATTGCTGGCAAGAAGGAGGGGTGGCTAATGAGGAAATGCATGATGCATTGGAACAATAAAACCCAACCCTATGAATCAAGCTAGAAATGAATGAAGACGACATTCCAGAAAGATTTAAATGAGATTGTCAGCCCGGAGAGGAGTCTCTTGGAATTCCATAGGACTCTGCAATGGGCCGGGCACTGGACAATTTATTGATGACTTGGATGGAGAAAAGAAAGACCAGCTTACCAAGTTAGCGGATGGCTCGAAGCCATCTGTGTGGTATCGCGGATCCATGAGATGATGCAATGGCGATTCAGAGGTGACGCTGGCACTTCTCTGTAAGTGCAGGGAGAGTCCCTGGTGGCTTGAGTCCAGCACAGAGAAGGCCATCACCGCCCATTCACCCTCTGCATGGTTCCTGGAATCATGCCCTGTGTGCTGGTAGTGGCATGTTCTTAAGAGACTTTAGCCAATTGCAGTGCATGTCAGGGATGGTCCCTAGGAGGACAGAGGGGCTAGGAGTCCTACACGAGGAACTCAAAGGACCTGAGGTGGGTGAGCTCAGATAGTACCTAAGAGGAAGTGGTATGACACTGTCTCCTAATATTTCAAGAACTACAGTGTTGAAAAAAGTATTGGATTTACTGTATGTGGTTCCATTAGGTGGAACCAAGCTTAATAGGTGGGTTTGAAAGAGAAAGGGATGTTGGGTCAGTGCAAAGAGGAGGTTTCTAATAGAGCAGCTCAGAAATGACAAGGGCTGTCCTTTGAAGGTGAGAGTGTCCAGCTTGAGTTTGATGTCTGAGGTCTGAAAGGGAGGAAGGTGCTTGGGGTGGGGGGAGGAAGGGTTGTGGGTTAAGATAAGGGGTCTCTCTGATCTCCTCTAGTTCTAAGGCTTTGCAAACCCTGGTTTGCAAAGAAACTTAACAGGTAAGTCCAAGTGAAGGGCGTTTTCCTTATTGGTTCATGCAGCCAACACACATTTATTATATGCCAGGTGCTGTTCTAGGCACTGCAGGTGTAGCTATGAACCCAGCAGACACCTGCAGGAAGCTGATCAGCAGCTAGGGGGGACTGGCTGCAATGGGGCACAGGAGAACTTTTTTGGAGTAAAGGAAATGTTTTATATATTGATCAACAGAAGGGGTATACGTCAGACCATACACTTAAAACGTTGGGTAGCCAGAAAAGTCATGACATTTTTGCATAGAAAATCATGCATTGGGACCAGCAGTTAGCATAATGGCTATGTTGCTGGACTCCCATGTAGTTGACCGTGGTTTGAGTCCCAGACCTGGTGGCTTAAACTCACGCCGGGCGTGTGTGCGTGCGTGCCCAAGATCCCGAGAGGAGAATGGAGAAGAAGGGATTGCGGCATGGCCATTCCCCCTCGGGGGTGATTTCTCGCTTTCTGTCTTTCTGCCTCTGTCTGTGTGAAAAGCGTACGTGCCCTATAGCAAAAACCTCACAAAAAAAAAAAAAAAAAAGAAAAAGAAAAAAAAGAAAAGAAAGAAAGAAAAGAAAAGAAAATCATGCATCATGACTGTTCCAACGACCTAATGGATGCATTTTGGGTAGCCCCGCAGGCTAATGGTTACAGGAACCAGATTCCACTTGGCTGAACGCAGTACAAATCCTAGTCACAGCAGCGTGTGTGTGTGTGTGTGTGTGTGTGTGTGTGTACATGTGTGCGTGTGTGTGTCTAACATTTCCGCAGGATGGAGAAATGGAAGAGAAGGAATTGCAGAATAACTGTCCCACTGGGGGATGCTTTCTCTCCCTCTCTCTCGCTCTCTTTCCTCTCTCAGGCAAGCGCATGTACCCTCTGGCCATTAAAAAAAAGATGCAGCTTATTTTGTGTGAATTATAGCTCCATAAAATCAATTCGGAGAACCGAGCACTGCCCTCATGTCCTCTGATTAAGCACACGGATCTGAGCGGTGGAGGAGACACAGGGAATGATAAGGCTGTCACGGGCGAGAGGTGAGGATTGTGGTGCAGGTCAGAGCTGCCCCAAGGACAGAGGAGTGAGGTTCCCGCCACCATCATGCCCACTGTCTGTCTTCCCTAGGAATATGAGTGCCTGGAGCAGGAAAACACCGCGCTGCGGAGAGAGATTGGGAAGCTGACGGAGGAACTGAAGCACCTGAGCGAGGCGCTGAAGGAGCACGAGAAGATGTGCCCGCTGCTGCTCTGCCCCATGAACTTTGTGCCCGTGCCTCGGCCGGACCCGGTGGCCAGCTGCCTGCCCCGATGAAGCCTGAGGATGCTCCTCTTCCGCCCAGCCAGGAACCTCGGGCCTTTTCGCATATAGGGCTTCCCTCTGCATCTGTGCGCAGGAGAACCCGTGGCCGGGCCTTCTCCTGGGAGCTCCAGGGCCAGCCATGTCCTCTGCAGATCGGGCTCAGCATGCCGCTCCTAGGACCTGACTGTCAGAGCCCTGAGTGGACCCAGCAGGACCCAGCAGGAGGACCACCCCCGGGAGGCACTTCTCCCCTTCGGCAGCTATTAGGTTCTGCTGGTAGGCAGAATCGTGTCCTCTAGAATCTGGATAATAAAGATGGCTACTGTCTCTCTTTTCTCCATGTTCTTGGAATTTAGAGGCACAATGCTGTTTCCTTTTCCTGGACCCTTGGGTTCGTTTGTGGCTCCTGGGTCCTGCTTCCCCTTCCTGTTCATCTCCCCCACGGCCCTCCTCCATGGCAGATGGGGAGATGGGGGAGGCATTTGGGCCCTAGACTTTCAGAAGTCTTTGGCTCAGCTGCGTCGCAAAGGGGCGCGCAGGCTGACTGGTGTGTTTATGCTTTGCGGAGCGTCCATCTTGGTTGGTCTCACAGTGTTCGGGACTGCTGTGGAAGGGTCTCTCTTCCCGGTCAGTTGTCCCCAATGGTCTATACACTCCACGTCACCTTCCCACTCATAAGTAGACACAGGATCTGAGGATACATTGATTAATATTAGACTGAATCACGGACTAATAAAGGGAAATCTGTCCTTTATTTATTTAGTTATTTTAAAATTTTTGTCAGAGGGCATGTGCATTTGCCAGAGACAGAGACAGAGAAAGGGAAAGGAGAAAGCACTCCACAAGGGGAATGTCACACTGCAACACTTTCTCCTGCATTCTTGCTCCTTTTGGAGCTAGGTCACTGGCTGGCTCAATCTGTCCTTTATTCAAACAAGTGTTTGAGTAGGTGAGAGGAGAAGAAATTTCCTTTCAAAAGTCCTGTCTGGGAACCAGCAGTTAGTGTAATGGCTATGTCGCTGAACTCTCATGTAGTCGACTGAGGTTCAAGTCCTGGCCCCGCCGGCTTAAACTCACCCTGGGTAAGTGTGTATGCCTGCCCAAGATCCTGAGAGGAGAATGGAGGAGAAGGGATTGTGGCGTGGCCATCTCTCCTGGGGGGTGATTTCTCGCTTTCTATCTCTCTATCTCTCTCTGTCTTTCTGGCGAGTGCACGCCATGTTGAAGTTGGTCCCAGCAAAGAAAGCAACTGGGAAGACACACTCCATCCTCCTCTTGGTCCCTTTTTCCCTGGAATGAGAGGTGATTCTAGAGGGTGGAACCATCCCATCATAAAGGGAACAAGAAATAGGAACAGAAAGGAAAGTACTTGTAAATGAAGATGGTTAAAAAAGGAAAGGAAAAAAAGTAGATCGCAACCCCTCCCAGGGGTGGAGGACTTGCTGATTCCATGCAAGTATTGGTACTGGCCATTCCCTGAAGCTCCCCTGCCTACAGTTGGCTACTCCTTCCCATCTGAGGATTGCCCGGTGTCCTCCAACTTGCACCAGCTGGAGGCTGCAAAATTCCCTTTGTCGGAGGCATTGGCACACCAGTGTTAAAGAACGAGGCTAATGCGTGCTGGAAGGACCAGCCAAAGCTTCCTAAGTAGAACTGCTTCAGGGGAATGGTACAACTTTCCAGTACAAGAGACGTTAAAACCATTCAGTCTGACCCGTTTGCTTTGCAGACAGAGAGAGAGAGAAAGAGAGAGAGAAACTGAGAAATCATTCCCTAGGAAGGATGGCCATGGCCAGGCCACAATCAAGACTCAGAGCAGCTCAAGGTCACCCATGGGTGAACAATAGCACCAGGCTGGGACCCCCGGTCTCTGACTCCTGAGCCAATGGGATTTATCAGAGTCAGGCTGAAGCCATGCAAAGAGGAGGAGGTCAGGCGGGGTCTAGCTCTGCTGGTGTCTAAATGTGGCATGTCCTGCAAGCACAAGGCTGACCAGACTGGAGAGTCCAGGTGAGCAGCCAGTCTGTGAAGACGGACTCAGAGCCAGGGTTCTGGGCAGAGGGGCTGTGCGTATGGACACATGAAGTGTGTGTCTTGTAAGTGCAGACATTTTGCTGTTGGCCCTGAAGGGAGCACTGGGTCTTACCCTGATATCCGATCCTGGGCCCCTCTAACTGCCCTGCCTCCCCAGAATCCAGCGGCCCTGACCTGTCTGCTGACCTGCTCTGACCCCTGCTGTCTGGGCTTTTCTCGTGGCCACTCTCCTATCCACTGCTAACCTGGGGGGCCATGTTTGGGCCCTACTGGCCTGATTTCTATTAAGCTCTTTCCAGCCTGACTTCATGTAGTCCCCTGCATCCATGTAATAGCCCAAGGATCCATCTCTTTCCATTTGTTGTGTGTCCCCAAGGCCTCAGAGCAAATCTCAGGCCTGTACTGAGCATTCAGGTGAAGTCTCAGTGTCTGGCGGAAAGGGAGGCAGGCTGAGAAAGGACCCCTCGGCCTAGAAAGTGGCAGAGGGGGAGGAAGCCCTTCCTTCACACCCACACAGCCACACCACTTCCTGTCCGCAATCCCGCCCTGTATTGCACCAGCCCAGCCTTGAAGCTTGGGGTTTCCCTCACTGAATCAGGCCCCAATTTGGCCCCAAACCTTGGTTAAGAACGATGACTCTAACGGACAGGAAAGCGAGATACTCAAAAGCCCCACTCTTCTTTCCCATCAGCGCTAGGGTCTCTCCAGCCCTCAGTGTATTTACTGACTTGGGGCCGTGGGCTTTGCCCCAGAAAAGTGAGAGGAAGAGGGGTTGGCCCATCTCTCACAGACACACCTTCTGTCAATACCCAGGAAGTCCTGGCAAGCTCACCCATGCCACAGGAAGAAGCTTGTAAGAGAGTCAGGAAGCGTGAAGAAAAAGGCAGGCAGAGGGGTAAGGAGAAAGGAAGGGAAGGGGGAAGGGAAGAAAAAGAGGAGCAAGGGAGGAAGATAATGGGGATCATCGTGTTCTGAACCTACATCATCCCTTCTCCTGGGAAGTTCTGCTCAATCTACAGGTGTATGCTGATGGAAGCCCCCGGTAACGCCACATAACTCGAGGTGAGAGTGGAGCTAAGCCAACGCTAGAGTCTCTGGAAACTTCTGTGCTTAGGGTCATGGGAACTTTTCTGGACTGACCATCTCGAATTGCCCCATCCTATCTATCTGGGACGTAGGAGAATGGTATGGCCACCACTTCTGCCACGCACTCCCTCGCCATCAGCATGGCCCACACCAAAGCTTGTACTGAGCAGGTGGTTTGCTCGCAGGGCTTGTAAACCTAGCTCTGGGCTGAGTTTAGCCAGATGCTGCCTCCTGAAACAGCTCACCTGCCCTTTTGTGCGTTCTAGCATGACCTTTTCTGGTACCATATTCTTAAGAAGACCAAAAATGCCATCGCATACCAGACCCAAAACTACAAGCCTAGAATTCTGACCACAGCCCTGAGGGAAAAGGGCCAGGGAGAGTCCGGCGTTCGCATTCTACAACCCCATTGTGAAAGGCCAGAGTTGCACTTGGAACTTCCCTGATTTTCCTTGATAACTTGCTACTTACCTATTTATCCAAAAAGCAAGACTCTTCTGGAGCTGGTTTAAGTTTTTCAGTTTTCTGCTGTGCCGCTCAAGCTTCTAGCCTGCTCTGAATTCACCCCGCACCTCTGAAGTCCGGGGTCCTTGCAGAGTACAAGGACTGTCGCTCAGATGCCTGGAAAGCAGGGACATTTTCCAAGCCTCCCAGCTTCCTGGCTCTTTCTTAGTCTTTCCTCTACACAAGCAACAAAGCCAAAAGTACTTTCCAGAATGTCACAAACCCACAGAAGGCTCAGTTCATCAGGCAGTACTTTTTGAAATGGAAAAGCAAGAAAGTTTGAGAAACACCCACAGCAGCCAGCGTCATGAGGTCAAAGAGCAGAAAGAACAAATGAAAGCACCCCACAGCAGTTCTTTCATTGTTGCAGCAAAGTCGGTAACAGTTCATTATCACTCCTCTTTATTAGGAATTCTTTTTTTTTTTTTTTGGAGAGATTTTTGCTATAGCGTGTGTGCGCTCGCCAGACAGACAGAGAGAGACATAGAGACAGAAAGCGAGAAATCAACCCCCAGGGATCTTGGGCACGCCGGCACACGCGCCAGGCGTGAGTTTTAAGCCACCGGGTCCAGGACTCGAACCGCGGCCTACTACGTGGGAGTCCAGCGACATAGCCATTATGCTAACTGCTGGTTCCCTTTATTAGGAATTCTATAGTGACAGTGTCCTTAGTATCCGAGGGAGATTGATTCCAGGATCTAGTTCCTTACCTCCATACCCCATCCCTGCACCCCTACTCTCACCCCTGCTCACAGAAACCAAGATTCATGGATGCTCAAGGTCTTTACATGAACTGTAAAACATCTGCATATACTCTATGCATATCCTTTTTTTTTTTTTTTTGGAGAGGTTTTTGCTATAGGGCACGTGCGCTCGCCAAACAGAGAGAGAGAGAGACAGAAAGACAGAAAGCAAGAAATCACCCCCCAAGGGGGGATGGCCACACCGCAATCCCTTCTCCTCTCGGGATCTTGGGCACGCACGCACGCACACACGCCCGGCGTGAGTTTTAAGCCACCGGGTCCGAGACGCAAACCGCGGTCTACTACATGGGAGTCCAGGACATAGCCATTATGCTAACTGCTGGTCTCGCATATCCTTTAAATTATCATACCCAGGGCAATGCCAGTGCTCTGTAGTTGTTATACATATTGTTTTTAAATTTGGATTATTTTTATTGTATTGTTATTTACTCATTTCTTTATTTTTCCTAGTATTTTCCATCCACCTGGATTGAGTCTACAGATCAGAACCTGAAGATACAGTGGGCTGGTTATATTTATTCTAATAATTCCTACCTTGTAATCAGTGGATACATTTTATAACAATAAATACTGAAATAATATTTATGTAAATAAAATAACTACCAATAATTAGTTATTACTAATGGACAAGGTAGTCTGAATACTGCAGCATGTACGTGTTGCTCAAACAATTAGTGGTTAAGAATCCATTGTGCGTGTGAGGGGAGCAAGACTAACAAGGGACAGACGCGTATCTTAAGGGACCCCCTTATCAGATGATTTCTGAAACTAACTTCTAGGCCTGCCTCAGTTTGAGCAGAAATCTATGGATTTCCCCCATCTGTTTTGAACAGGAAACACTCCTACATAGACTGTGAGTGGCTACAGCTCAGTCGCCTTACAGTCTAGTTATTCTCCCTCGCTCTTTCTCTTGTGTATGCATGTACTATCTATCACGAGTA